TGTGATCCCCACAATGACATTTATACATTTTCTTACTGGCAAATCTTCTGGCATTCTATCTGACATATCTTCTGACATTCTATTTGGCATTCTATCTGGCATATCTTCTGGCATATCTTCTGGCATTCTATCTGGCAAATCTTCTGGCATTCTATCTGGCATATCTTCTGGCATTCTATCTGACATATCTTATGGCATTCTATCTGGCATATCTTCTGGCATATATTCTGACATATCTTCTGGCATTCTATCTGGCATTCTATCTGGCATATCTTCTGGAATATCTTCTGGCATATCTATCTGGCATATCTTCTGGCATATTTTCTGGCATTCTACCTGGCAAATCTTCTGGCACTCTATATGACATTTTATCTTCCTACATGAGGTCCGGCAGGGAACACTTGGCGTGGATACTCGCGGTTGAGGTCCGGCAGGGAACACTGGGCGTGGATGGTCGTGGTTGAGGTCCGGCAGGGAACACTGGGCGTGGATGGTCGTGGTTGGTCGTGGTTGAGGTCCGGCAGGGAACACTGGGCGTGGATGGTCGTGGTTGAGGTCCGGCAGGGAACACTGGGCGTGGATGGTCGTGGTTGAGGTCCGACAGCAAACACTGTGGATCGCGAGTCGCAGTTGAGCAGGAGGACGAGGAGGACAACGAGAGGAGGAGGACAACGAGAGGAGGAGGACAACGAGAGGAGGAGGACGACGAGAGGAGGAGGAGAGGAGGAGGAGGAGGAGCAGGCAACTTAGATAAAATCTAACAACCCTCACCTGGCAGGTGGGGAACCATATAAAACCATATCAAACCACCAGAAAACCATATAAAACCATATAAAACCACCAGAAAACCTAGCTAATTAATAGCTAACTTGGTCTCCCGGCCACACCTGCCGCTACTACGTCCAGGACTCGCCGCTCGATGCCCCAAGCGAAGCCGATGAGTGACTCGGAGGACTTTCCGACTCAGTAACTGAACAAAGCATACAATGTGGGGCCCCCAAACGTTATGTTTGTTGGTTTATAACCCCATCTAACTATGGTTATAACTACCATAAACCCTAGTTAAATTGGAGTTATAAACCAACTGAACTCTATCTTGGGGGCCTCACATTGTAGGGATTGGGTTTTGGATTTTCTGTTCACAATCCATGGAGGAAGAGTCATTGAATAAAGCATGAAAAATAGAGGGGGGTTTTGCAGCTGAAAAACTGAAGTTTTTGACAGGGTATCTAAACATATCTAAGCTCAGCCATGACCACAAAAAAAAACACAAAAATTGCACCTTGGTACACGTAAATTTCGGGGTCCACCTCATTCCATCTCCGACAAAGCATCATCATTTCCCAGCTTAGGGAGGCTATTACCCCCATTTTCAAAGCCATCCAAATACCCTCTGGTGATTTAACGTAGCGAACTGGACAATTTCCAATTCAAATCATTTTAATAGGCAAATAGTAACGATCATCATCTGGAAATGGGCCATTTTCATCCATTTTCCATAGCTATGTTCAATAACCAGAGGGTACCTTTTCCTGTTCCGCCGGATCAAGGAAACGTTTTGGCTCACTGAAGCAATGACTTGCCAATGACTTGTCAAATCATAACAATCATTGAATCCCAGGATGAGAACTTAATTGTTAGGAAAATCTAACAATGTTTGATGATTCAAGTTGGATATGGTTGGATCATTTTTTCAAATATGTTTCAATAATATATCCAACGATGTCCAACTTGAAAAAGTAATGATAATTGGTTATAGTTGGATTATCCATTTTCTCCCAATTATCCATGTTTTGTTTCAACCAATATACTCTTGAAACGATGGTCGGATGGATCATCCCGGGTGATGATGAGATGATTTTCCCCAGGTACAAGGCATTGCTGGTGTCCAAATTCAAGGTTGCACTCGGAGCAGCTGCTCGAAGATTTCTTCGGTGATTTTTGGGGGACGGGTTCCATGGGGATATGGTCAAAGACAGCAACTGTTGGCAGGGTAGTGATCTAATCTTGGCCATGAAATGGAGGGGAATCTGCGAACCGGCAAAAACACGTCAATTTCTTACAAGGTACCGAAGGTCACGACATGGTAGAGCCATGAGTTCCATGAGTTCCGCAAGAGAAACGGGGATCACAGCGGACACAGCCGTCATGGATGTTGAAAGGTTGTGAATTTCTTGGGATTTTTCTTCGGTTGGATGATGTTGGATGGTTCGTGCCAGCAGAAATTGGTCGTGGGTTTTTGGTTCAGTGGGGATGCAGCTCTCGTAATTTGCCAGCGATTTTGATGTGAGCACGAGATTCGGTGTTGATTCATTGCCATGCCAATCCTTGAGGTTCGGATCAGGGTTCGGGGTTCACATGGCAATTGAAAGAGAGACCAGATCTGAGCCAAACTGGGGATACATCAGCTGACCGGTATTTCATACATGTAAATAATGGGCTATTTCAGATCGCTACCGCAGCAAGGAGTCAACATATAACCATATATAACCAAAGTTACATCTAATACGCCAGCTATGGCACGCACACAACGTATGACTAGCCTATTGCGAACAACCCATTACAAACCTATTTTTTCTATATGTACTAGAGTAGTAGTCGCAGCTACTAAAAAATTACATCATTTGAAATATCACTAACGTTAAGTTGTATTATCTATGACTAACACCCTATCCTTATGAAGCTATTTTTCTACTTGGGATTCCACTTCCCCAGTCGTTTCAAGGCTGTTCTGGCGGGCGCCAGCACATGTGTTGTGCCGGGCGTGGGCTGCGGGGTCTTCAAGAATGACCCAGGCGGGGGGCTGTGACAGGTGAAAAACCATGGGGACAGGATACCGAAGTTCTTCTATGGTCATAGTGAAATATATGGGGGTTTCCAAAAATAGGGGTACCCCCAAATCATCCATGATAAACCAACCATTCTGGGGATTCCCCATTTATGGAAACCCAGAATTTGGGAAAAAATATGGGAAAACCGACATGATGAAAATATGAACTCTGAGAATCCGGGATTTGACGGGAAAATCCTCGCATTTTAGGCATTTTTTTGAGCTACGTCACGTTGGAACAGAATGATAATCCCAGCAAGTGGTTAGTCACCATAGTTAGTTTAGCCACATATATACATATACATATATATATATTTTTATATATATGATTATGTATGTATATATATATACATATTATATACATATATATATAATATACGTCTATGTATCCTACATCCTATATCCATATCTATATTCAATGTGAATATCACAAGTTTTGGACCCTCCAGGTGACGTGGGATCTGCACTGGCTGAAGCCCTACGATGGACAGCACTGGCTGGGAAATTGGAGGAGGCCACGGGGCCGGATGGGGCCCCCGTTGAGCGGTTGAGCTCGCGTTCAGTTGCCGAAAAGTGGGTGAATTCTATGGTTCATGGTAGATTTAGCTTATAGTTCATGGGGTTAGAATGGTTAGATTGCCCCAAAAAGACCGATCCAAAACTAAAAAAAACACATGTTTTTGGTGTCTTTTGTAGACCTTAGAAAGCGAAGGATTACTATTGGGTTCACTGATGCACTGAAGTTGTATCCGAAATGTTTGAGATCGCACATTTTGAGTTTATCGCCACGTTTGGAGGATACATCCCCGAGGAGCGGGTCATCACCATAGTCATCTTGAGTAAGGGAAATGATGTCCAGAAGGTTTACTTCAGGTTTGCGAATTATAGTACTTCACCCAACTGATTGCAGGGGTTGGTAACTGTCCCATTTTGGATATATTGGACATCACCTAAAAAAGTAGCCATTATAGACCATATACCTAATGGTTAGGTGATGTTCAATGGGGACATTTAATGACCCAACTGATCGTCTATGTCGAAAACGAGAAAGACACGGCCCCTTTCTGGCGGTTGAGGCCAAGTTTAGGCCACAATTGATAGCTCCACACCTCTCAAAAAGCTCCAAGATTGGTGGCAGATTGGTGGTTTCATCCAGAGTTTTCCATCCCACCATGGCCATAACTTTTTGAGGTGAATCTTTGGATCGGGGCCGGTTGCCACATGAAACATGGTTGCCACAATCGCTGGGGGCAAACTCCGGTTGAGAAAGTCACCTTGATGAAGCATCCGCATCCAAAAACACCAAAACAAAACTCTTCGAACTGATTTAGTCGCCAACTAAATCTCAGGCTGAGTTTCAATCCCATGAAATCCCATGAAACATCCCAATTGGAATCCCAGGAAATCACCATTTTTGCCGATTTCGTGGCCAACCTGGGGCCGCAGGTGATCTTAGCCGGCGTTCCACGTGAGTTTGCCACAGCCGCTGGGGCTGCGGCCTAACGAAAATGGTTTTCAGCTGGTGGAGGTATGAAGATTCCGGGCCCACATTCCTTGGCGAAGTTTTGGTTGAAACTGGGAACTTATGGAAACTTGGGATAAAATCCCACAGAAAATTCAGATCATTTCCAGATGTATGGGATAGGCCAATGTGGGGTTGTCCAGTTATGTTTCTTGGTTTGTAAAGCCCAGTAAGCATAGTTGGATTAAAGTACCATAAACCATAGTGACATAACCATTACCATAGAAACTATAGTGTCACTGGGGGTTCTCCAGTTATGGTTCCAGTAATTATACAAGTACCATAAACCATAGTGACATTGGAATTATGTTCACCGACTGAACGCTATCAAACAGGGGCCCCATTTTGTAGGTGGGATGATCCTCAAATACAAACCATGGCCACTTTATCCATCCGTTCCTGGATTTGATGAAAACTTGTTGGGGAATCTACTTGGATTCATGCATATATACATATATAATCATATATATATATATACATACATCATTTATGGCACCCGTTAAGGAAATCCAAATGTATTGCTTGGAGATTTCACACATATTTTTGTTGTTTTTTTTCTCGCTTGGGATGATTGCCAGGAGCATCAAGTTGGGGGTTGAGATCAGCAGTCAGGTTTTAGATGGGATAATCTACAGGTTTTAGACTCAGCCTGTCAGCTGGTGTTTTTTGTTTTGGGATGTTTGGAATCCAACTTCATCATATGGTGCCAACCCATCAAGGCTGAGGTCTCAAGACAACTGGGTGGATCCTCGAATCCAGTTTTGTTTATGGGCACCCAGCATGTTGATGCGTATCAAGTAAGGCAGTAAGGTGTGAAAAAATCCTCCGGACTTGGGAAAAACTACCAGACACCAGCCAGATGTTTCCATATCAGGAGGTTGTCCAAAGTAGACAGCCTAACAGCGCTGGACGTTTCTGCGCTGTGCATCGAAAAAAGTAGCGGCGGAAGATGGATGAGAAGCCATCTGGGGAGCAGTGAAAAAGATCAGCAACTGGGTTTTGACCCGTTGCAAGTGGCAAATCATACAGTCGCCACTTGCCAACAACCTACCGATTTCGATTGGTTGTTCTTTCGGGCCCGAAAAAAAACGAAGCGCTTCAATTGACCAACCTATTTCAGTAGGATCGTTCCATCTTTCCGGGGTTGCTATGATGTTATCATCAAGTTGGTTTCAAACTGATGGAACTTATGACAACATCAAGTTACTTCTATTATGAGTGTTATGGACCATATTTCTTGAGAAGTGGCTACTTTGATCCAACCTGCGAGAACTCGTCCACCTGAAAAAAACGGAGCGACCGCAAGCGACCGCGTGGCGTCGTGGCGACAGCGACGAAGCGACGACGGCGAATGAAAGCGCGTGAGCAACACAGCAACGCTGAGGAAATGCGAACCAACTGCCATCGTCAAACCGGACGTATTCAAACCGGGCTTGTTTCAGCTCACAACTCTGAAACAGGCCATTCAAAGCATGACCAGAACTTTAACCCTCGCAACCATGAAAATATGGTGAAACGTAAAAAGCTACGCTTGCCTTGAATTTGGGAATCGGATGAGCATGGAGAAAATGCATGATAAAATGCACCCTTACCCAATCAGTAGGGGACAAACCGCCAAGAATTTGGGTTGCTAGAATATATCATAATATCCAGTAACGAACCATCATATTTCCAACAATTTCTTTCTGGGATATAATTCCACTGACTCTTCGGTTACTCAGGTGAACCACCAAGTAGGTATCTTCGATCCTAAAACTTACCCAAAGGTCCAACCCAACATGGCGCCATGTTTGACACAGTCCCTTGGACCCTTGTGACGCAAGGCGAACACACTTTGCAACGAGACGACTTGGAGAAAACGTACGAAGTCAACGCCCACGTGTTACGACTTCTCGACTTCTTTGGATGAAAAACATCGAAAAAAACCGATCGTATCCCGCCATGAACACCAAGTTATGATGTTGAAAAACGCCGGAAACAACGAAAACCACAGGTCGACCCGAATCGATGTCTGACTCTCTGAGCACTTGTCAATCCGACCATCCATGCACTACGGCTGTCGCTTTTGATTCAAATCACTGGTAAGAGGGGTCGACTTGCAGGGTGTGGCACAACGTTAGGAAAGATTGGGGATTATGATGGTTATCATTTTGGGGATTACTAACATTCCATCTTGGAATTGGCTATGAGTAATATCAATTTATAGTAATTGATGGCAGTTTCATACAAATTGGATGGTTATTACATGTTATACTTATTACTACAATATTACTATACTGGTTGGTGCTTTGGAACCATGGAATTTTATGACTTTCCATTCAGTTGGGAATATCATAATCCCAAGTGACGAGCATATTTTTCAGAGGGGTAGGTATACCACCAACCAGATTGGTTCAAATGGGCTATACCGTGCTATACCCCCTTTTCAGAGAAGCACAGTTTTCAGGGTGGAAATGGAGACGGTCGCAAGCGTTTAAAACGTTTGGATACACGCCGCTTTTCTCCGATCAAAAACAGAAGGCCGGCAACAAAGACAGCCTTCAAATTGTGCGATTGAGACCTAGTTAAAATCAGGTTTCATGTACAAACTACGTCCCAAAACGTGCATATACATGCAAAACCGAGGTTTCTTAGGCATTTTTTTTGCGCATCCCTTGGACTTGTTTTGGCCTACGGCGCCATTAACGACCCCTGCGTTTTTGTCATTTTTGCTGATTGGAGGCAAGTTGCTCTTGAAATTGATGCATGCAGAACTGATGTCACGTCACTGGGTTGGGGTGGGGTGGGGATGTTAACGGTCATGTTAACTTGCGTCACATGCACAACTGACGTCGCGTCACTGGGTTGGGGTGGGGTGGGGATGTTAACGTTCATGTTAACTTGCGTCACATGCACAACTGACGTCACGTCACGTGGGTTGGGGTGGGGTGGGGATGTTAACGTTCATGTTAACTTGCGTCACATGCACAACTGACGTCACGTCACTGGGTTGGGGTGGGGTGGGGATGTTAACGTTCATGTTAACTTGCGTCACATGCACAACTGACGTCACGTCACTGGGTTGGGGTGGGGTGGGGATGTTAACGTTCATGTTAACTTGCGTCACATGCACAACTGACGTCACGTCACTGGGTTGGGGTGGGGTGGGGATGTTAACGTTCATGTTAACTTGCGTCACATGCACAACTGACGTCACGTCACTGGGTTGGGGTGGAAGGCGGAGGCCAAAAAGGCCGGTTTTCAGTTTTCCTGTCGAATGCAGTTTGTGAAGAAGGTTCCTAGGAAAAGATTCTTTACAGGAACCCAGCTGTTGGATAGCTTTTGGAAAATTCTCAAACAATTCGTTGTTTCCAACCTGCGAACTCGCGGGAAGTTAGATCGCCGTGTCGACCGGCGCTTGCTGGACCAGATTAAAGCCTTCATGTACTACAGACACAACTCAGGTCATAACCTGCGGAAGGAACTGGGAAAGCTGGCCAAAAAGAGTCGACGCCGAAGACCTTGCAAGGTAAGTTGAAAAAGAAGTGTTGCTCAATGACTTGTGGTCAGATGTAACTAATTTTCTCCAACAAAACGAAAAACGATAATTCGTTTCAGGGGTATTGAAAATCGATGAACGTTTCACACGAAACGCACTTTTTGTAGTAGGCCCCAAAGTAACTACGATTTGACATTTTTATCACGTTTTTACAAAACATTGCAAATACCATGATTTGGTGAACCAAGCATCATGAAAAATCAATGAATTACCCCGGGTCGCTAACCGCGCCGTAGCCTTGTTTTGCCAAGGCAGTAGTTTTAAATAGCGCTTCAACTGAAACACCGAAATTCGTTGTTTCCGCATGCATGCTCGTCGAAGCAACCTGAGATTGAGTTGCGTGACAATCGTATCGAAAAAAATCGGCCCGCGCAAATAGCGCTGAAATTCGGAGGGCAAAATGAATCTTATCATTTACTCTCGTTGTACACCTTGAAAAGGTGGCGTGCGAATCCTCTAATCGCCTGGATGGTATGGTGTGGGCTGACGCTTGGCAGGATGCTATGACCACCTACATCCACCAACCAAAGGTCAAAACCAACCACTCGGAAACTTACAAAGAGACTTCGAAAATGCAGGGCTGAATGAAACACCGCAAAATGACGCAAAATGACGGTGGGGTAATTTACAGACGCAGGAGACATTTTTTTTTTCAGCGAGAACCTCCAACATCACCAGATACCAATGCACAGGGCATGATGTTGCAGGTTTCCTCCAAAAATAGGACGCCCCAAAATCCCAACGCTTTATAATGCCGAACATACACTTAGAACACATTTTGGGGAAAACCAAAAACATACACTTAGTACAGGTGTTCAAAGAGGTACTTAGAACACTTTGGGGCAATTTATGTGTTCTAAGTGTATGTCCGCAATTTAAATTATGTAAGGAATGGTACAGCCTATGCAGTTTGTGCAAGAGACGTACCAGGTTTGCAGGGTTTCTGCATTATATATATCTATATACATATATATATAATATACACATATACACACATACATATTCGGATGTGCCCCCCTTGTAACAGCCAAATATTTGATTTACACATACCAAAGAAGCAAAATGAAGCACCAGGAAAAAAATACATTAACTTTTCGGAACCTGGGTTAAAAAAAAACATCATTCCATTTGGTGTCTTCTAACCCTATATGTTTTGGCCCCCTTTTCCGTGACATTTGTTTTATCAGGTGGCTTGGAGTTCGTGTCCAGCTCATCTTTCTTTCCATGGCTTTCCCTCCAAGAATCCTACCAGGGATCCCCTATACTGCTTTGACATCCCATTGCTTTGACATCCCATTGAATCATTGCTTAGCAAAAATTATATCACAAACAATGAATCTGTCTTGTTTGATACAGTATTGGCAGTATCGGCAAATGGACCTTGAAACATGATATGATGTTATTATGTTCATAATTATGGACTTTTTCAATTGACACAATACATCATATGACTCATGACTAATAATATTAATATGACGTGTGACATATGTTGTGCTGTAT